TTATTATGTAAATATTATTATAAATTGTAAAAATTTTAAAACCCGGTCAAAACATTTAATCCAGTCAATTTTTCTATGAATTCTATTGTTACAGAATCACTAATTCTGATATGATTTTATGTATTACATAGATCCAGTGATTATCATTTTTTTCTTCACTTTTATGCACTGGCGAATAATAAGGTTTTACTTCTTGTCATTAGATACATTGAAAAATGATATGGTGGCATGTTTTTTTGTTGTTGATAAATGTTGATACATGTATATATGATATGTGTTGAATATTTATTATTTTATTATAATGCTTTCTTAATACATGCAATGACGGTTGGATCTTCTGAAACAGAAAATGAGCATTTCTCCAATCACACACAAACAAAATATGTGAGGCACAGGTTTCAAACTTGTGCATGCAATGGATAATAGCAAAACCTATGTTGTTCTTGGGCCTCACCTGTAGTAACAAATATTGTTGAAAAATAGTGATAGCACCACCACAGTTCTGATTGTATAATAATTTTGTTTGCCAGGATCGTTTGACTGCTTTAAAGGTGATATGGTTCTGGTGGCCTTTGGGATTAGTTCAGGCGATACAACGCATCAGTCGACCAATTGTTAATGTATTTGTGGCTAGAGATTTAAAAGGAACTGACCAGGCAACCATTGTAAGTTTTCTTCTTGTCATGGTATTGCATTGTAACAAATTTATATTGTTGATATCTTGGCCATTGAATTATGTTCTATTGTGACACTATTAAAAAAGACATAGTGGGATTAAGGTAATACTCCCATTTAGATTCAAAATAAAGTACTACTGTTTATGTAACCTGATTTTGAAAACACAATGTATAAAACTTGCTAGTACAATGCGTATGTCCATACTTTGTAGTGTGGACAAGTCTTTGTTTCAAAATTCATCCATCTAGAAACATAATTAATATTTTCTTTGGATTTTGTACTTGACTTGACATGAAATATTTGAATGTGACCTTCCACATTGAACATTCAAATTGACAGTGAAATTGTAACATGTTGCATGTACATCAGAGAAAATTTTCTAGTATATCTTCAAACAAACTTATTGAAATCAGTAACTCTTACCTCAGACTAGTAATACATTTTTATTAGTCTGAGGTCTTACTAAGTGAAAGGTGCAAATCATTAAATGTTTTTCCTGTTGATATCATTTTTTTTCCATTCATTCCAACTATCATCTTTCAGCAGGTAAGGTATTAGAGGCTACCTTACTACAGAATAGAATAGAGTAGTGCTTTATTGACACCGTAAAGAAAATATTTCTTTTTTGGTTATGTACATCAATGAAGTTAAAAAAAATTGAAAATTGGAAACATAGTAATGTATTAAGTAAAAAATATATAATAAAAATAGCAACATTAGACTATACTACTAGTATTTTGATTGTGATATTAGTCCTTACTACATGTATGCACAAGATTGGCTTGTGGTATATTGTAAAATACTTCATTTTAGCTGGAACTAAATTTCGCTGAAAAGACTTTTTGGGTGTTTTGTATGGAATTTATTTTAACTGATTTTTGACGAGTTTAATGTAAAATATAGGCCAAAAAGATATATTTGCTAGATATTATTTTTACTGAATCATCCCTTCAGCAAAAATAATGAAAATTTTACAGCATTTTAGCACCATGACTTACCGGTAATAATACACCACTTATTGTATTTTACAGGCCTTGGCAGTTTTAACAGTCACTTACCCTGTTGGGAGAGTGCCATGGGGATGGCTGAATGAACTGAAAGCAATAGCACCTGCTTTTAGCAAGGTAGTCTCAAGTTTTGAAATCCCTATGAATATACTTATCTGATTATGTTATTGCGTAGTTATCATATGTGTGAATGTTTGGAACTTGTAAACTCCAGTGTCTAATCCTTGGTGAATGAACCATGTACATTACCAGTCAGTGACGTCATTTATTTAACATTATTGCAAACTAGTATGTACATGTCTGACAGGCACTAGGTTGCAATCTTACAATGACAACATTGTCTATACAGTTAAATCTATGTATTTTGAATGCCAAATGTACTCAAAAAAACATGAAATTTACAGACATTTCATCTTTAGGAGGAGGTTGATTATTAATTTTAAATAAGATATGACAAGAATTTCTTAGTTAAAGAACATTTGTGAACAGATATTTGAAGATTGCAAAATAATCATTATGGGTAGGTATTCACTAACACAGGTTGACTGTATGTTGTTTTATTAAAATGGTTATGTACATTTAATAGCAGCAGCAGTGAACAACACCCTTATTTTCACTTTTAATATACTCAACCAAAACATAAACATGTCATTTTTTATCTACTTTTTGTTTTGTTTCTAGGAGGCATTAATGGTTGATGGACCAAGTAATCGTGTCACGCCAAAACGCATACGAATACATAATATTGGTGCTTTGTCATTCTCAGTATTGGTAAGTGTGATAATCTTAACACAAAGTTGAATATCTATAATCGTAGAGACAATACTTCTTTTATCATCCAAAGTTTGCAGTAAATAAATTGTAGTTTGAATTCATGGAGGAACATGTTAAGGGGACACAATTCTTAGTTTTTCATATTTTGTCTGTAGTAAAAATGTACGTTATGTGACATCATGCAACGTATAGCATGTAAATTACCTGAAATATAAATTGTTTCAACCAAAGTTAATTAACTAGTTTCCAAGCCTAGTTAACATAAGCATAACATGTACATGCATCCTACCATACTTGTACATTAATTCTACTGCAAAGGTAATCTGAATAACATGTAGCTTAGGTACAGTTACAGCTTCCAGGCCTGTTTTCAATCTTCTGATAGCCATCATTTTTTTGGTAAACATTGTTGGGATAATAGTTTTCAAAAGCTAATTCAGTATTAAATGAATATAATTTCACACTGACCACAGACAGGTCATTTTAAGAATAATGTAAAAAATTACTTGGTTTAATATTATTTTGTTTGAAAGATAATAGAAGCTGACTTTGGTATTCAAAGGCTAAATCTGAATAAATGAATGTTAATTTAATCTATATTTATATATTATAATTTTAACATCTACTATATCTTTATTGCAGATTATGTTAATAATTTTTTGGATTCCTGGAATTATAGTAACATTCTTGATATCAGTCATTGGAGTAGAAGATTGGATGGCTGATCTCTGCATTTGGCCGTTACGTATATTTACATTTTTTGCGTTCCCAGGTATGTATCAATGTTTTCTGTCATCTACCTATCTAGTACTATGATGTATCTTGGAGTCTCCTGTTACTATCCAAATGTGTTAATTAATGCGCCAGGTATGTGATACATGCATGCCAACTAAAGTACCAATCTGAGGCCACTATATTTTGGTACTTAATGTCTGTCCAATGAATCCACTAATAACTCATATACATTCATACTATCAAATGTTTGATATACCTGGTGTGTGTTTATTTGACAGTTGCAACAAGAGCTCATCTTACATCGTGGTTACTGGTTTACAAAGAAACTAGAATTGTTGCTCCAAGTGCATTGGTCAGATTGATTTGCTTAATTGTTGCACTCTTAGTGTTGCCATTGTGTGGGTATGTACATATACATGCTTTGTTCCCCAAACAATCCCATTAGACCATATTTGGCAGCTTTTATAGGTGTCATGTGATATTCTAATCTCAGTCTTCATCAAAGCAGCCATCTTGTTTGCCATTTTTATTGCTACTCGGTACATGAAGTTGTGTAATAATCTAAAATAGTCTTTCAAAAAAAAATATCAACTCTGACTTACTGAGAAACAGATTGATGGTCTTTGATACCAATTGATCTGGATGCAAATGTCACAAAGATTTTGTTGAAGCATTTATTTGCTTAGTGATCCAATTCAAAATGTCGGAATAGCAGCCATTTTAATGTTAAAACTCACCAAAATAAAGCATGTTTGCAAATCTGGAACCGGATCTCAGTTGTGAATGGACAAACTTGGTACATACATTGGACATTATAGGACCTTGATCAGATTCATAATGAACTGGCAGCCATTTTGTTTTTAATTTCTGTTCAAGAGCCATATCAGTGATATGCTTTGATCAATAACATTAAGATTTTATACCGGTATGCACTGTGCATTATGTGGTATGTATATTTATTTGACAATCCAGTTCAACTCGAGATGTCCTAATGGTGGTCAATTCAATTCAACATTCATGGAAATCAAGCATTCTGCCATTATAGAATGAGATTGTTCAAACTCGGTGCAAACATAAGACATTATGAGAACTTCATGCACATCATTTTGCATTTCAGAGCAGATTCAAAATGCTTTATTTTTTTGTTTTTAACAATTAATGACTTTTCCTGGCCAATCTTGTATTAACTTTAAACATCATGTCGCACATATGCACATTTATTCTTTTAGTGATACGATTCAAGATGGCCGAAGGAAGCCATTTTAATGTTAAAAATTGACTGAAAACAAGCATTTCTGCAATTCTGGATCTAAATCTCAGTCTAGCATGAACAAATTTTGTTAAACTTGGTGTGAACATTAGATGTTCTAGGCCTTTGATGCATGTCTGTTTGTTAGATCGGATTCAAAATGGTTAACTGTGTACTTCAATTACTTGTTCATTATAAATTGCTTTGTAATATTCCTTTCAATTTCAAACCATCAGTGTACATGGAGCGTCTCATGGTATTGGTGCCTTACTGGCTAGTTTCTGTGGAGAAGCTATCACTGTGGCTTGTGGGTCAGCATGCTATCATTTCCGATTGGTAATTATAATGTTATTTAATATCTGTCACATGGTTCTCTTCATACTGGTAGATATTATAGCATCTGTATAAATAGGTTTTATGTTATGTAGGGTGTTCTATATTAAATAAATTCTGTGTTTCTGCTCAGACCCCTAAAAGAACAGATGGGAAGTGCAATGTACTCTGATCTGTGTCTGTTTTTTTTATTTCATTTCGACCACATAGAGGTGGGATACTGGCTAACTAATAAGCATATACATTGGTCAGTGACATGGTGCAGTTTGTTTGTTTATTAACACTTTTTATTACTTGCAATGTGGGTTAGTCACCTTTTGATATCAAGTTAGCAAGAATATTTCCAATAGTATGTAATTTAGGCACCAGGCAAAAATGACGGACCTTCGATTGGTTCTAAATATGCATTACAAAGAGTTGTCAATTTTACATTCAAAATAAAGTTGGCATTAATAATATGCATTTGTTTATTTGTGTTGAGTTTATTAGAACATTAAAAATAAAGATAAATGAATTGATTAATAGCAAACAGTCACTGAAATGTAAATTATTCATGCTATTTCACAGGCAAATATTTTACTTGTTTACTATGACTTTTCACCGTCACCTTCTGTAACCTTTCACCGTCACCTTCTGTAACCTTTCATCGTCACATTCTGTAACCTTTCACTCACCTTCCTAACCTTTCACTACCGTACC